GGGGGGGGGGGAATGGGACGAGGCCACAGACCCAAGTCCCGCCACTGCCCGCAGCTCCCTGCTGCAACGGCAGCTCCGAAGGCCCCCTACCTAAACGCCAAACCTGCACCCAATGCCCAACCCCCACAAACCAAATGCGTGTTTTCCGAGGCTGTAGTCTATACACACCCGGTTTTTGGGAGCCACAACCAGGGCGTGTGCATTTAGAGAGATCTGTATTTATAACAGTGGACTATAACCAATTTCCCATATTGGCCTGTGGTGAAACTTACATTTCAGGGGCTCAGAAATCCCACTGAGGGGACCAGTCAGGGTGCTGGGCCTCTCCTCTCCGCCAGGCCATTCGGTTACTCTCAGTTCTCCTTAACTTTATAAAAGGGGGCCACAAACCATCTGTGTGCACATTCTGGGGGTGCTATTCTCCCAGCAGATCCTTCAGGTGAATTACTGGGTCCAAGGATCCAAATGCCACATGGCGCATGCTATACTTTACTCCTAAAAAGTGAGCCCAATTCACAAAAGCACCATGTCCGCTACACAGTTTCACTCTAACCTCACTGGCAGTGGGTCACGTAACAACCAAGTTTCTGAAAAACCCAGTTTTACTCACCCCTTTCTTTGATTTACACAACCAACACTCAGGGGCCAAGCCCCACTGTACACCTTGCCCCCGTCCATCGCCACTCCCCACTTTGGCAGGTAGCGCAACATCTCGCAATGACACCTGGATATGACTGCAGCATTGCTAACCACATAGTAGGCGCTTCTTAGAAATTAATAAACTTTCACTCTCTAGATGTTTCTGGAAACAAAGGGCAGAGTGAAAGGAAACAGGAACAGTCCCCATTAACACCGCCCGATGTCCAGCCCTCCGTTTGTTCATCCAGGCTCTGCCCGGCTCAGGGCCAGCTCTGTGGCAATGGTGCCTCCCACCCTGTGTTTAGGGCCCTAGAGTCTACAGGACACAGGATTCCAGGAGGAGGTGGCAGGGGCAGTGGCCTAAGGTTGACACACCTTCAAGGCTCGAAGGGGAGATCACATCCAGTCTAAAGAAGGCTCGGGGAGCTGAAGATGGCTCAAAGGGGAGGGTTCTTCACGGGACCTCAAGAAAGCACAGGCACCTAGCTTTCTTGGTGGACAGTCCTTGCCAAGTTCAGACTGGGTGTCCTCGCTGAGGTCCACAGGGGACTCACTGGCAATGGCTTCAGGCCCAGGATGGCTGCCCCTTCCCCAGTGCCCCCTGCGTCCCCAAGATCAGGTCTCCTCCTGGGTGCTGGCCAAGGACTCAGACTAAGGGCAGAATGCAAAGCCTGGGGGCTCCAGGTTGGGCCCCTCCCTCAGGCTCACAGGGAGGGAGTGCATAGGCAGAGAAACCCTACCGGCGTGAATTGCCATCAGCATCAAAGTGCTGCGTGTCCAAGCAAGAGCAGTTTTCAAGGCAACCTGACACCCAGCCAACAGGAGGGTTTATGGAGAAGGAGGCACTGTATGAGGTGCTGCTCTAGAGCTGGTGCTCACGAGAACTGAGCTTTGAAGTCCCACTTGGCCTGGCTAACCCTGGACCCCACACTTTGACTCCACGCCTGCCCAAGTGCCATCAACCTCACAGACCCTGTGCCCAGGACACCTGCACAGTCTCGTCCTCCTTCCCTTACATGCCCAGCATCTCCCCTCCTGTCCACTGCCCACTGTCTTGCACCCGGCTGGGCAGGTCCTTGGACAACACTGGTGGGACCACCTCCTGGCAGGCTGCACCCTCACCCAAGGGTTCCAGCCACCATCCCTGTGGTCCTGCGGGTGCCTGGCCTGGTACAGACAGCTGGGAGGCCTCAGGGACTCAGCAGTCCTTTGGGCTGGTGAACCATTTGCTGTGACCCACCCCCCAGGGTCCCTGGAGGGCAGGCCTGAGCCTCCACCCCTGTTACCAGAGCCTGGCTCTGGGGGCCAGCCCTTGAGCCTGGGCTCAAATCTCAGCCATCTTTGCTTTGCTCATGCCCAGTGCAGTCCTCCCCTCCCCTCCGGGGCAGAACCAAACAGAAACCCGCTTCTGTTTCCTGACCCCTTATCTGAAATGTACAGTCTGACTCGTCCTCTCAGGGCTGTTTTGCATCAGCCAGATTGAACCCAAGCCCAGCCCTGGTCTCTGAACCCTGCGGTTGGGAGGCATTTGTAGCTGGGTTGAGATTCCAGGGTTAGGCCCTGGCCCACACAGAGGCTTGGAGATAAAAGCAGAGAACTCAGAGGTCTCTAAAGGAGACTGACGATCAGAAGGGACCAAGCGGGTGCTAGCCCAGTGCGAACTGAGTAGGAAGCCTCGGCTGGCTGTACCGAGTCTGGAGGGCAGAGGCTCCGCTGGGAGGGCCGGGGTAGGAGAGGAAACTTGGGTCACCTTTCACTCAGCGGCTGGTCACCTGGACACGTCTGTGCCTCAGTGTCCTCATCTCTAAGTGGGATTAATAACAGTGCTCCCCTCCTGGGCTGCTGTAGGGGTCACATAAAGCCCTGAGGACAGGTGCTCACATAGGTGTGGGGCCTCTGCACAGGGCCTCGCTGAGCCAGGGTAAGCGCCTCTGGCTGCGGCCTCTCTGTGGGAAAAACATGACAAAGGCTGGGTGAGCTGGAGAGGTGAGGTGAGCGTGACCAGGTGGCAGTGGGAGGCTGGGGCTTCCTTAACTCACACAGACCACCGGGGGGAAAATGTAGCCCATCTCAACTCAGCCTGAGAATAGGAGAGAGAAGTCACAGGGTCTCACCCCCTGGTGGTGGGGGAGATAAAAGAAACATGCAAGCAGGCACACGTAGTTTGTGGCATAAGTCTCCCTCAGAGGACATAAAAAATCTGATACACACACACACACAGTCCTGAGCTAACGTTATGGGGAGTTTAGTGGGGGTCATAAAACTGGATGGATGCACTAATGTGCAAGGGGTCGCCCTCAAGAGAAGGTCTGAACAGGACCTCAGTGAAGGAGCCAGGGCTAGGAGCATGCTTGGTGACATTCACGAAGCTTATCAAGTACCACAGCTCAATGGACAGCCAGTCTCTGTGCGCCACCAGGCAGGTGCCTGCAGGGTCGAGGGGTGGGACTCAGCAGGATTCCACAGTCACCGGCACTGGGGCCTGAGGAATGTTCGCCCACCGCACAAGGTCCCAGCACCTCATAAGGTCCCAGCAACCACACATGAGCCCAGCAACAGAGTCAGTGTGACTGAACCCACCTCACAGATGCAGAAATGGGCTGGGCAACTCTCTCAAAGGTACACAGGGCTAGGCCCACGCACCTCAGTGCTCCACAGGCCCCAGGCCTCCCTCTGCTCCCACGAGACTGTGGACTCTTTGGGGCAGGTCTGACTCACCTATGCCTCCCACAGCCACTCAGGGCCACAGGTGGACAGAAGATGGACCAAACCCTAGCGCCCCTGCAATGTCAGCAGGCAGCCAGCACTGTGACCAGCTGCCCTGTCCCACCTGAGTCCTCACTGTCTCACCTCTGCTCTGAAGACACCTCCTGGGAAGGTGTGGGGAGTGGAAACCTGAGGAGTTCTAAGAACGGACTGGAGCGGGGACAGCTCTTAGCAGCCCAGCTTGGGATGGAGAACAGTGGTCAGAGGGAGTGGAGACCTGGGCTGGCCCCAGGCGCATTCCAGTATGGCAGCTGGCTCTGAGGGTGGCCACGTGGGGCCCCCAGACCAAACAGGGCTGCCTGACCATATGGCCCAGGAGTGGCCATGGGGGAGAGGGGACAACATGGGCTTCCCCAAGTGCTGCCCAGAGCATGGGACCAGAGCTGGGGGAGGGGAAGTCTTTCCCCCTTCACCTTCACAGTGCCTGGTGCGGAACCACCCCCAGCCCAGAGTGCAAGCAGGTTGGAGCTGGGCCATTTGATTATAAATAAAATAAGGAAACGTGGCATCTGCTGCCACCCATCTAGGGGCTCAGGAGCAAAGCTCACTGAGCAGGTGAGGGGTGAAAGGGCCTCAGTGAGTGGGAGGCCCTGAACCACATGGGAGGACTCTGTGCTCACCCTGAATCCATGTAACATCCCCAGCGTGGGTTGAGGACAGTCCAGCTTCTCAGGCCTCCAACCCTTACCTGTTCCATCTGCCCTTTCTCGGCTCCTGGCACGAAGGGCCTGGGGCACCGCTGGGGCCACTGAGTCTCTCACATCTGGTCCAGGTCCAACTTGGGGTCCAGGAGCTTGGGGTGCCCCATTCTTCTCCTGTTTCACTGAGGATGTGCCATTGAGCCGTGAGCGGGCCTGGGGCTGTGGGGGCGGCGAAGGCTGTGGGCTGGAGGGGCTTGGAGAGGGGGCGCTGGAGTCCATCCTGCTGGTGAGAAAAGCTGTGGGTCAGACACACCAGGACTAGCCCAGCTCAGCCCTCTTGTTTTTGGTTAAAAAAGGAGACAGCAAAGGGAACAGGGTGGGGCTGCCCAACATTCTCTACGTGACCTCATGCAGCATCACAACAGCTCCCACAAGACCGTGCCCACTTTACGGACAAGGAAATGGGGGGAAAAAACACATTCAAGGCCACCCAGCTCGACAGGTCCCAGAGTCAGGAGCTCCGGCCCTAACATCTGAGGCCTTGAGGCCCCACCTCAAGGGGCATGAGCCATGCAGCCTGGGTGCCCCCATCTGAGCAGAGGGATGATGACTGAAGCGAGGTGTCAACAAGATGCTCCACGTGGAGCACGGGCGTGTCTGGCTGTGTGGGCTGGATGGCGGCCTCCACGACAGGTGTACCCCAAATCTGCGAAGGTGACCCAATTTGGAAAAGGGGATAATTAAAGATTTCAGATGAGGTAATCCTGGGTGTGGCTGAGCCCTAATCTAATGACTGGTGTCACTGCAAGGAGAGGAGGGAAACAGAGACACAGACAGGAGGCCACACGATGAGACTGGAATAATGCAGCTGCGACCCAAGGGACGCCCGAGTCACCAGCAGCCACCAGAACTGGAAAAGCCAGAAAGGACTCGCCCTCAGAACCCCCTAGAAGGAGCAGAGGGGAAGGGGGGATCCAAAGCTGGTGGGACCAGAATTTAGATCTGCCCAACTCCAGGCCAGAACCAAAGGACAAAGGTCTCAAGTGCCACCAGAGAGGAACACACACAGAAAAGCAGAGTGACGTAAGCTGTGTGGTGGTCTGAGGACAGACGCCTGGAATAGGCCAGAGTGTGCAGACTCTAGGATCGGCTAATGATGGGGGAAGGGCTCAGTCAGTCCAAGAAAGTGGCTGCACCGGCTGGGGGCAACATGGACACAACCACTGACACGGCTCAGACCATGGGGCCGAAAGCTGAACCTGGGGCCCTGGCTGGCTTCAGGGACATAACCCACTGAAAATGCTGGGACCATGTGTGCAATGTGTGGGGATCCTGTGAGGCTCTTCCTCAGACTCCCAGAGGACACCGTGCCCCTCCCAGACTCAAGGCCTATCCACCCTCTTCACTGAGATGAGGACACCGAGTGCCGGGCAGGCAAAGGCTCCCCAACCTGACCTGCCAGGGCTCCCTGCCCTGGGCTCTGTCCCCACAAGCTGTGCAGTCCTGAGCAGGCTTCATCCCTCTCTGCACCTCAGTCTCCTCAACTGTAAATGGGGACTACTGCCCCATGCTTGGGGCATTGTGAAGACCAAATGAGACCAAACTATGAGGTGCACAAGAGGGGCAAGGGTCCCAGACATCTCCGAACACCCAGCTCCCAGCACCCAGCCTGGTGGAGCAGGTGCTGACACAGGTTTCTGGAGGGTCTATAGAAATGAGCCATGTCCACCTCGTTCCCAGCTACACATGGGCCCCACAGGTCGGATCCGTGTCCATCAAAGACCCCTGCATGTTCCAATCTGGACACTCCTGCCTCACAGGGACTGAGCCCTTATTTTAAAACATCCCTCCGGGTGCGATCAAGCCACGCAAATCTGCCTGGAGATCAAAGCAGTGCTCGGTCTGTTTCCAAACCCCAGGCTTCCAGGAACCAAACCAGAGGCAACTTCTGCAAAATTTGTCATTTAGTGGCATGTGCAGACCAAACTGAGTTTGCTCCTGGCTCTGGGTGGGACCTCAACTGTGACCCGGCACACACAGCCGGGCATATGCAGGCCACTGGCCAGCCCAAAACGGCGTAATAGGCAGGACTCCAACCACAGGGGGCCATGTCCTACCTGGCCATCCTGTGGCTCCTGCCGCCCCAGAATCAAGTGCCACCTTCTTAGAATGGCCAAGGGCAGCTTGCCCAAATGATAGCTGACTTACACCAAGCATTTGTGTCGCTAATGACGACAAACATGTTTCTGGCATGAGCTCTGTTCCCAGCGCTTCCCACAGACTTCTCGGGGTTCCTCGTTTCGCCTAGCAGGTAGGCAGTAATATCCTGGTGTTATGGATGGAGAAATGGCTCATCCTTCAACCCCTACCCCATTTCATGGATGGGGAAACATGGGTCCAGGAAGGTTTGACTCCTGCTCGAGGCCACACAGATCAGGGTGAGAGCTGGAATTCCAATCTGCAAAACCTCGGCGAGTTTCTGAGAAAGGGGCCTCTGCAACCCGACCCCTCCCTACACTTTCTCTTCCGGGGTCCACTCTCTCTCAAACCCGGTGTTCCTCTACATCCACACGCTGCTAACCTCCATGCCTCTGCCCTGCGGAGCCCTCTTCCTAGTGTCTGTCACGCTATACTTCCCAGAATCGTCCAGAGAGGCAGTTATGAATGCTACACCCCCTCCATATGGTGCTACAGCTGTTAACAGCTGTATAGTGCATACGAACATTTAAATGTGGGGAAAATGTGTGTGTAACACTGTTAAGCAGGATCTACAGCAACATGCCATAGTAGCCTGAGTCTATTTAGGATGAAAACAAAGTTTATCTGCAGAAAAAGATAAAAGAAAATGCCTCCAAAAAGGTAAATCCTGACTATCTCTGGGTGGAGAGATTACAGGTGTTTTTACTTTATTCTTTTTCTAAAAGTATTTTCCCTAATTTTGTATAATGAATGTGCAAGATTTTTGGAATTACAACAAAATGTTACTTTAAAATTTGTGACCAAGCTCTTAAGTGAGTGGCCCTGGGGTGGTTCCCAGGGCCTGGGAAGTCTGCTCCGGCTGAGCCCCCTGGCACAGGGTGGCTCCTCAAGACAAGGACACAAGGTCCTTGGAGGCTCCCATGTACCTATTTTTGCCCCAGGGTACTAAGGGCCAAACCAAGGAACATTCTCAAGTGCCAAGTTCACAGGAACAAAGGGGGAGTCACTGGGAATGTCCAGGGTAGTGACCATGGAAAGCCACACTATCTCCCCAGTGGCTAAGCACCCCCATACACCTGGCACCTGGTCTGCACTGGGCCCCATCCCATGCCAGGCACTTCTCGGGACTCCCTGCCCAGAGAGAGTTCCTGTGGGGCCGGCCTTGGAGAGCTCAGTCTAGATGTGAAGGACACCTAAAGAGAACTACAGAGTCAGAGCGTAGGGCCTCACTCAGCTGGAAACAGTGTCTGTCACCCAGAGGAAAGGGGGCGGGGTAGGGATTCTGGAAGAGGCCTGGACTGAGCCTTCAGGACCAGCAGGCCTGAGCCAGGCAAGGGTGGAGGAAGGGGGGTGTGGGGCATTCCAGCAGGGACTGCCCAGGAAAAAAGGCAGTGAGGGCGAGTGAGCCAGCACTGTGGCCAGGAGGGTGAAGGTGGCTGAGAAGTGATCTCTAGGAGAGGGGACACAGGAATGGGAGAAGAGGCTGTCTGGGTGGCAAGGGAAGGTCCTGAGGGCCTGGATGAGTGCCAGGTTTAGGACCAGAGGAAGTGCAGGCTGGTGCTGAGCAGGGAAGTGGCAGTTAACCATTGGGGCTATGTGGGGACATGATGGGAGCACCAGGAAAGGAGCCTGGAGGCCGTCCAGGGAAAGGTGAGGAGGCCTGGCCCAGCCCAGGCATCTGAGCACAGCTCTGGAGCGTCACCACCTGAATGGGAGGGGTGGGGAAGAGGGTGGCTGCATCTGCGCCTCAGGACTGGTGGTGCCACTTTCTGAGGTGAGGATGGGGGAGAAGAGAGGGGGTGGTATGAAGCACAGGGCTCCCTCTGCATTAGGATTCTTCTGGTCACCACCACTGCGGACCAGGGCTTGGTCTGTCCTACAGCATAGGCGTTTTGGGGGGCCAGGACTGGGCGAGGCTCCCCTCTGTGACCTGTCCCGCCCTGGCTTGGGAAGGCAGAGGAGGCCTGGGCCTGACGCCCCTTCACATACTCTTCCATCCTGGGGAGGAAGGTGAGAGGCCGTGGGCCAGACACGTCTGTGTCCACCTGCTGGGGGCGGGGGGAGACAAGGGAGCCTCTGTCAAAATCCCTGGTCAGCCGCCCCGGGGCTCCCAGGAGACTCCCAGGAGAGGACACTGGCCGGCGCGGCCTCGGCTTCCAGAACCGCTCCCTCGCTGGGCTGCAGGGAGGTCAGGCGGCCAGCGCAGGGGTACCAGGGCCTCTGTGAGCGATGGACCCGGCGGAAGGGAAAGCCCTTCCCACGGGGCTGAACTCCAGGGGTCACGGTCCAAGGTGAGGAGAGGCGGGGCTGCGCCGCGCGGGCAGGTCACCAAGTCCCCGCGGCCTCGGCCCGCGCGTGAAGTGGAGCTACGATCCCTACCCTAGGATGACCCGCGGAGTTCAGTACTGCACAGATGTGAGGTCCTTAAAATGCCCTAACATCAAGCCCAGCAGGGCTGGGCGGGATTTCCCGGGGAGCATCCATCTTTCAAAACAGAAACCGTTCCGGGGGGCCAGGGCCCCCCCTTCGCCAGGAGGAGTGGGGGAGGGGCAGCGCCCACGCGGGTTCCCAGGGGGCTGCTGCTGGGGCGGGCCGGTCCCACGGGGGCCTGAGCCCTCCCCCACCCCCTCGCGCCCCC